GAATTAGCCGTTTCATGTGTCAGCTGAGCTGAACAAATAAAATTCGTGATTAAAAATCATGCATTGTGCTTTTCGTTATTTATGAGCTGTGTGTAGCCGGCTCCAGGCGTAGCTGTTTCGCTTGAATAAGAGGAAAAAACGGGACTCGCGTCCTTTACCGCGAGCATTTCGTCGCTTCTCCGACAGGAGAACGTGACTGAATTTTGAGATGAGCCCTGTTTCCCGTAAGACCACATGCTTTTGGAGGCTCACGTTAATATGGAGATACGTGATTGTGTCGGAGGAAGGAGCATTTTGAGCTTCCGCCCTCATCCCGCTTTGAGGACGTGACTGAATTTTGCGATGAGCCCTGTTTCCCGTAAAACTGCGTGCTTTTGGAGGCTCACGTAAATATGGAGATACGTGATTGTGTCGGAGGAACGGACGTTTTGAGCTTCCGCGCTCATCCTGCTTTGAGGAACGATACTCACACTGAAGCATCGTGCATTAAAAACACATTACCCGCCCGATGTGCGCAGTTCCTCAGACAAGCCTGCTTTTTGTCTCGCTGAAACCAGAGCGCGATATTCCCTCGTTTTTATTTAAATTGCTTGCCTAGAGGTGGAAAACTAGGAATCTTAATATTATTTAACGCTCGGAGAAAATACAAGCTATCAGGTGAAAATGTGCGCGAGAGAATTGTGTTGCTGCGTATGGAATAATTCTATGATCTGAAGTACTAAAAATTACTGATTTTTTTTTTTTTTTTTTTTTTTTTTTTTTTTTTTTTTTTTTTGCATATGAGTGGAGACAAATCGATAAGAAAATTTAGAATTGACAGAGATTTACTTGCTCTGCGTTTTTTTCCTTTTTTTTAAGGCTCTGCGGTGTGTTACCACAGAATAGTAACATCTCACATTATTGAATGACACAGAGCAAAAACAAAGAAGTTCGATCGCACAAGCCTAAAGTTGCGTATACCAGATTGATGGAACTATTCGGTTTGCCAAACAGAAATTTTTGCTCCTATCACCAACCGTTTAATCAGTTTGGACATCTTTTTTCAGATTTGTTCACTGTACAAGTTCAACCTTTTGAATCAAACGTTCCGTGGTTTGACCAACTGTAAACACACTTTGACAAATCGGAAGTTGAATTAGACCAATAAAATAGTTCGATCGTTATTGAACACCGCATGTTTGGCCCATATGATCGATTTTTTTTTTTTTTTTTTTTTTTTTTTTTTTTTTTTTTTTTTTTTTTTTTTTTTTTAAATGTAAGGCATCCAACAATGCACATTTCAAGGAAATGTATTCATAACTCTCCTAAAAGTGACATTTAATTGAAGGAAATTTGGCAACTCTCGAATGCTCTTACGGCGTTTTTCCTTAGCATGGCCGGATATAGAACCAAACGTTCCTTTTTGTGGAAAACTCAGTTCATGACTGTAATAAATGCACATATTTATCAGACTGGGAGCTCAAAACAAAGTTTTGTGGACTGAAAAATTTAATAGTAACCTTCTAACCCAACTTAATTCTAAGTGACCCTGCGGAAGAGGCAACAGCGAAGTTTAAATTAGATTTTTTACGATGTATGCTTAAGTTTTTATGGTTACTTTCATGCTTTTACGGAGCTGCGCTGCAGATTGCATAATCTTCCCGCGGAAAAACATCAAAAGCTCACCCGACTGTGTGCAACGTTGGTACCTGTAGCAGTGGCAAGGCGGGTTTCACGAAATATCGTTTGATCTGTCATTTAAACCTATGAAAAAGTATCGATTAACAGGGTTTTCGCAACAAACATCTTAATTATCGATTCTTTACCATGGCCTTAAATGGAGAAAAATCAATAGTCGATCATTTACGCCCTGCCACAGATCTGTAAAGTCTCCGAGCTTACCTACTCTAGGTGTTTCTCTTCCGTGCTATAAGATAAAAATGCCGTATGAACATTCGAGAGTTGCCAAATTTCCTTTGATATAATGTTATTTTCGGAAAAAGTTATGGAAATTTTTCCTCGATATTTTCAGATATTTTAAATCAAAATGGGAACTAAACAGTCTGAAAATTTGAAAAGAAATGTTCAGAAAGAGCCGTATGCAAAAACGACATTTTTCGCCCCCCCACTAAAACTTATTCAAACTTCGTCTATCAGTTACTAATACTGGAGCGCTTCTTTCCCCAAATTTTCAGACCCCCAAAAAATTTTGGGGGGGCGCTAGGGGGGGTGGAAGTCAAAACCTGCGACACCCGATATCTTCCGAACGAAACAAGATATTGAGGCCCGGTTTGGACGAAAAATCGTCTAAAATTGCATACTTTAAGATTCTAAAGGTCAAAATCCCAAAATTAAATTTTTAACTTAACTTATGTGCTTTTTTTCAGTTTTTGAGGAAAAACAATTTCTTTTAAACAGATTAAACTGAAATTTCACATTTTTTGATTTGAACCAAAACCAGTTTTTTAAATTGTTCGTCTTTTTCCGCATCCAACGAGTGGTCGCATAAGCTGGGGAACCGAACGGTTCCGGAGTTATGATCGATTGAAGTTTCCGCTCAACGCGCGCCGACCGATTTTTGCGCGCAAAAAAGTCGGATTTGACTGTTATCAAATCAGATTTAATGTTCAAACTGAGCAATATGCATTATTAGGGACTCTTGAGGGTTGCTGAGTCCAGAAATTACAGATACTTCCAAAAAATTCACGTTTTTAAAATTACAGCTTCGTACAGGACCACTGAGCGGCCGGTCGGCGCTCAGTGGGCCTCTAAAATAGCGCTACGGAGCTGTAATTTTAAAAACGTGAATTTTTTGGAAGTATCTGTAATTTCTGGACTCAGCGACCCTCAAAAGTCCCTAATAATGCATTTTGCTCAGTTTGAACATTAAATCTGATTTGATAACAGTCAAATCCGACTTTTTTGCGCGCAAAAATCGGTCGGCGCGCGTTGAGCGGAAACTTCAATTGATCATAACTCCGGAACCGTTCGGTTCCCCAACTTATACGACCACTCGTTGGATGCGGAAAAAGACGAACAATTTAAAAAACTGGTTTTGGTTCAAATCAAAAAATGTGAAATTTCAGTTTAATCTGTTTAAAAGAAATTGTTTTTCCTCAAAAACTGAAAAAAGCACATAAGTTAAGTTAAAAATTTAATTTTGGGATTTTGACCTTTAGAATCTTAAAGTATGCAATTTTAGACGATTTTTCGTCCAAACCGGGCCTCAATATCTTGTTTCGTTCGGAAGATATCGAGTGTCGCAGGTTTTGACTTCCACCCCCCCTAGCGCCCCCCCAAAATTTTTTGGGGGTCTGAAAATTTGGGGAAAGAAGCGCTCCAGTATTAGTAACTGATAGACGAAGTTTGAATAAGTTTTAGTGGGGGGGCGAAAAATGTCGTTTTTGCATACGGCTCTTTCCCCGTAAATGATTTGTGTTATCAAAGGAAATTTGGCAATGCCTGAAGCTTCATACGATATTTTTTCTCAGCATAGCAGTTTTGGTGATTCTGTGCAGAAGGAACCGCGAAGTCTGAAAACCATAAAATATTTATAATATTTACAGGAGCTTTTACTCTTAGCATTTTCTGTTTTCGTTCTTATTTCTTCCTTGCCAGAATATGCATGTTCAATGCATATTGTTTGCTTATACCCAAATCATGTATAAAGTAAACTTGTTTTTTTTTTCATTTAATTTTATCAAAAAAAATTATAGTGCACTAATGGTTCCAAATAAAAATCTTTAGAAAACGGTATTCTTTTGAACATTTATTAATAAGGTAGGTATTCAAAAGCCTGATAAATATAAAATCCATGTGATAAAATAAATAAATTGTGAGTTTATATTCTATACGATGCAGAGCCGGATTAAGGGGGTGGCCACGTGGGCCGCAGCCCATGGCGGCAAATCTAAGGGGCAGCAAAAATTTGCAATTTTTTAAAGTGTAGGTATGTTTCCTGTATAACTAGTTAGGCAGCTGCCACCCGTCGGTTTCTTTTTTTTTTTTTTTTTTTTTTTTTTTTTTTTTTTCATTTGGTCTCGTCATTTTTTAGGGGGAGTTTTTTGGATTGGGCCGGGGTGGCTACCGCCACCTAGAATAAAAAAAAAAATCGGATTTATAAAAACAAAATTACAAACGAGAAAAGGCGACAAAATCTCTCATTTCCTAAGAGTACAGTAATTTCTAATTTTGTCGTCTCTTAGTGATACAAGAAACAGCACCTTCAATAAGTCAAGTTAAAGAAAGAGACCAAACACACAATGTGGCCTGGACTTAGAGAGAAATGATAACGAGGACTTGAGATGAGAAGGAGTCACCCTCGGCGCGGCGATCGGCATGTAACACATATAAGCGCCTACAAGACTGCACGAATACTTCAAGCATTGCATCAAACTCAGTGCGGTCAGCAGCGGTCGGCGTGAAACACATAGCGCCTACAAGACTGCGTGAATACTTCACGCATTGCATCAAACTCAGTGCGGTCAGCAGCGGTCGGCGTGAAACGCATAGCGCCTACAAGACTGCGTGAATACTTCACGCATTGCGCCAAACACGGTGCGGTTTGCGCGGCGCGGCGGCGGAAGTTAAAATCATTGATCCACATCTATGTTTGTTCTTTCATAATTTTTTCGTTCATTTCTTATGAATGGAAGGCCTTGTCCACACAGAGATAGGTTTACGGAACTTAACTTTCGCCCAAAGTTCCGTGAACTTTTGCTATTAGTGTTGACAGGGCTTTCCCCAAAAATGTGTTCAACACGAGTAAATGCGTCTTATGCACCCCTCCCCCGCTGACACGTTCATTTGATGGTTTTTATCGAGTTTTAAAACGAATGAGAAGGGGGCGGCAAAATACAGGCGGCCCATGGGCGGCAAGTAGGTGAATCCGGCCATGATACGATGAGAATTTTATAATAATTGTTGGAACTTTTTCCTGAGCTCCCCAAATTTTTGTATTCCGTTTTTTCGCAGGATAAAAATAAAATATTTACTAATGCATATGTGTTTTAATGTTGCAGTGTACTGGGACAGAATATCTTACTTTGATGCTAAGCATTCAAGGACGTTTCAGCTTTTTTACGGAAACCGGTAAGGGATCTCATCTTCACTTTCAATAAAACCTTTTTTTACGGTTCACCCATGAACATTCATGAAACGACAGTGCAGCAATACGAGATTTTTCAATCAGTCTCTTGGAGAGAAAATCTGCCGTAATGAGAAGCATTATTTTTCGACATGATTCGTAACTCGCTCCCTACACGCACTCAAAGGTTTCTCCGCAACCGTCCCGAAAAATGAAAGTTGATAAAATTAACTTTAAAATGGCCACTATGAGACTGAGCTACATGTTTTCCGACCTTCACCATCTTAATCAGTCATAAAAAATCAACTGCATGTCGTTTATCATATGTTGAATAAGTTTAAACATATGTCACTTTGACTTTCTCTGCATCAATTGAACATATTATTAAATGCTCTCAAATGAAATCATCAAACAGAAATAGGTTATACCGCCTAGCCGGAAAAATTTCTCCGATCCTACCCTCACCGAAGAAAGCAAGCGTGGATGGTATTAATTGAGTCTTTTGATAAGCAGTGATTCAGTCCCGCTGCTTGAATGATACAGTCATTTTAATCTGGAACGAATCAGCCTCTCAGACGGTAAATATCATTCGCGGTCTCAAAAGCTCGGACAATAAAACTTGGAAAAGTCGAAAGAGCGGCATTATTAAACGCAATTAATCCCATTGAGACTATCAAACTTTCATCGACGATTAACCAGCTCTGAATCCGTTGAGTGATTTTTAAACTCGAGTCATCGTTAGCTTTCAACTTACATCCGTGAATGGATTTGTCGCAGTTCACGACTCAATGCAACTCTCGATTTCTAAACGCCATAAGCAGGTTGAGTTTATGACCTTCTTTTATAACGAAGGGTGTGGAAGCTCATTCAATTATTTTTATCATACAGGTGCGTGCAATTGAAGGCTTGATTGAAATTTTGAGATTCTTATACTGTACGGACTAGGGTAACCTAGAATGAAAGCGGGTACTCGCCAGTGGTGCGGCGTGGCGTGCTTTGCGATATACCAATTTATTAAACCTGTGGAAGGGGTCGATTAACAGGGTGTTCGCAGCGAACACCTTAATTATCGATTCATTTTCATAGCTCCAAATGAGAAAATATCGATAGTCAATCAGCCACTGGTACTCGCATCGTCAAAAATGAACTATCCGCCCGTCCGGATCATTCAAAATTAAGTGTGTTTAAATGGGCGATGCCGTTGCTGTTAGTTTGATTTTCCTTGAATTTTTGTCAGTTTTTTATAAGATAATATTGATAGAATCAGCATTTTGGTGCTCTGATCTTTGGATTCTCAAAGTTTTGGAAATACTACATTTATTAATAATGATAAGTAAAATAATGCGAATTCGATACGTTAATTCGATATGTTCGTGCGTTAATTCGATAAATTCGCCTCCAAAATCCACTAAAATTCCTCAAATGCTTCGCTTATGGACGTGTTTTCGCGCGCTTCAGCCTCAAATCGCGTGCACCCAATCAGGAAATTGATGGTCCATTTTTTGGTTGGTCGATCACTTTTCGCGTCAGACAGGACACCAGACAGCACCCGCTTTGATTCTCGGTTACACTAGGGACAAATTAGACGTCTCTCAGCGGCAGAAATTCACTTAAGTCGATCTCCTTAGCAAGAGGACATCCTCTCAGCATAGAATTAAGAGACCACGCTAACAGAGGCGCAAACCGCCGCCATTTTCTTGTCCTCGAAGCGAAACTTTTAGAATTCTAAGAGCGCTTTAAAGCCGAAAACGGCTGAGCTAATGACAAGTAGAACTTTCAGTGGACTCTGCATCAGATTTAGTCGCCAAGCGCGGCAAAGGCGCAACGCAATGTCTGCGGCTGCGCGTTGGTCATGGGACGTGCGGCGCAGGCGCATCGCGCGAGCCTGAAGACGTCGCGTCGCCGGCCGCCGGCCCGTCGCGACGCCCGTGTGAACGACGCTTATCTCCAACGGTGGTTTTTTTCACCCCGCTCGCTCTTCTTTCTTTCGGAGGACAGACGACTGCCAGCCGGGCCGGGACCCAAAACGGATCCACGTCCTAATCGATGAAGAAACCACTCATGCATTCCGGAGAGCTCCACCAATTCCACAGTGTCCAGGTCAGGCAACTCCACTTGTCGGCGTCCGAGTGCAGTCGCCTCAAAAACACACGAGCGTTGCGTAATCCTCGCTTCATGAATCTGATCATCGCGCTGATTGAATGGGTCAGTTGCTCTGGTTACAGAATCGTGTTTTGATGCTTGATTCTTGTAGATTGGCTAACAATAAGAATAATAAGATCAGTCCAAACATCAACTTTCTACGTTTAATACTAACTGAGATATTGCCCTTTGAAGAATTCCCACTTTTCCATTTCGCCCAAAGGTTTCTTGCTCACTTTTACATTGTTTCTTTGTCAGCTTTCTAGAGCATACCCCATCTTTCGTACCCGTCTCTGGTTCCTCTTAGTATAAATTCGCACAATGGGTCAGTTGCGCCTGTCACAGAATCGTGTTTTGATGCTTGAATCTTGTAGATTAACTAAAAGTAATGATTTCCGTCCAAACCGCAACTTTATACGTTCAATATTAACCCAGATATCGCCCTTTGAAAAGTCGCGTTTGTGACGTCATGCACCGTGCGTAGTGACGCTCTTGGTTTCTTCCACCTTGCTTTTATCCGAGTTTTACGTTGTAAAACCAGTGCATTGGTGCGGTTCTGCGGGCTGATTATTGAAACTGATAAACAAAGCTATAGACAAAGAAGACAAAAGGGAAGTAAAGGAATCCTTTTGGTGGAAGCGGGTGGTTGTGACGGAGGTAGGAGGTGAGTGATAGACAAACTAACGGCAACCCACGAGAGACCCGATGGTTTTAATCCATCATTTTCTCCCTCGGTCTACAGGAACCACCAATGGTGACCAATAGGGTCGCATTATACTCCTCATGCCTTCTTTGTCTACCCCTTTGTCTATATATTTCAATAATCAGTCCTCTGGTCCAAAAAATTACATAATTTTCTATCTTGGTCCACAGGAACCACCAATTTTAATCAGTAGGATCGCATTATACTCTTTATGTCTACAGCTTTGTTTATAAAGGGTATCCCGGGTTAAGCATGTCAAAATGCCCTTCTGAACGGATTTTTATTTTAACCATTTTAAGTCATCAAGGGTGTCCTAAAACTTAGGTTTTGGGGGATTTTAGCCCCCCAACCCCCTCCGCCCCCCCTCAGACCCCAAAAAACCGCTTTTTGGGGCTATTTTTGACTATGCTAACGTCTTTTCCTTATAACTTTCGTAATTTTCGATGGAATTGAACCAAAATTTGTCAGAATCTACATCAATTAGCTTAATTTTTGTAGGAAAAAATTCATTATCATCGGATAATATTTTAGCGTCTAAAAAAATTCGTAAAATTTTGAAAAAAAAATCATTTTTTCCCTTTTTTCGCGCTAGGCGACGTATGGAAACGAGGACACAAACAAAAATTGTCTCTTTTCTTAAGTTATACATCCAATAAGATACAGAAAAAATTTCGTGCTGATCGGAGTGGTGCGCCATACTTAAAAACGCAATTTTCTAACCTCAAAACGGCCAAAATGCCACCATAGCCTCCTTTGATGACTAGGCGTGGAGAAATATGTAGAGAGAAACATCCGGTTTTATCGTCTCACCTCTTAAGTGATCCACTTAAGTACCTTGAGCCAAAATTTCGAGTTGATCAGAGTGGTGCGCAACACCCAAGCACGCAATTTTCTAACCTCAAAACGGTCAAATTGCCCATTTCGGTACCCATTATCACTCCGTGTCAAAAAATAAGAAGAGGGACATCCGGTTTTATCATCTCACCTCTTACGTAATCCACTTAAGTACGTTTAGCCAAAATTTCGAGTTGATCAGAGTGGTGCGCAACACCCAAGCACGCAATTTTCTAACGTCAAAACGGCCAAATTGCCCATTTCGGCTAATTTCGGTACCCATTATCACTCCGTGTCAAAAAATAAGAAGAGGGACATCCGATATTATTGTCCTACCTCATAAATTAGACACTTAAGTACATTTAGTCGAAATTTTGTGTCGATCAGAGTGGTGCGCAACACCCAAGCACGCAATTTTTTAACCTCAAAACGGCCAAATTGTCATTTCGGCTAATTTCGGAACCCATTATCACTCCGTGTCAAAAAATAAGAAGAGGGACATCCGATTTTGTTGTCCTACCTCATAAATTAGACCCTTAAGTACATTTAGTCGAAATTTCGTGTCAATCAGAGTGGAAAAAAAATGATTTTTTTTTCAAAATTTTACGAATTTTTTTAGACGCTAAAATATTATCCGATGATAATGAATTTTTTCCTACAAAAACTAAGCTAATTGATGTAGATTCTGACACATTTTGGTTCAATTCCATCGAAAATTACGAAAGTTATAAGGAAAAGACGTTAGCATAGTCAAAAATAGCCCCCAAAAGCGGTTTTTTGGGGTCTGAGGGGGGGCGGAGGGGGTTGGGGGGCTAAAATTCCCCAAAACCTAAGTTTTAGGACACCCTTGATGACTTAAAATGGTTAAAATAAAAATCCGTTCACAAGGGCATTTTGACATGCTTAACCCGGGATACCCTTTCAATAATCAGCCCGCTGGCCCAAAAAATGAAGACTGGAGAGAGGGCGCATCGCTCCACCAGCCATACGCGCTCTGCCCAAGTGCCCATGCTCTCCAGCCTGTTGTTATCATTCATCTACACCTGGGGTACAAAATCCAAAAAATAACTCGGCAGTTTGACAACAATGTAAAGCGGTGCGGCGCTGGTGGCCCAGTGAGTAGAGGTGATCACTCGGCTTGACCTGGATTCTTACCGCCCCGTTGTCAAGTTTAAGGTCGGCCCCCTGGACCTGGAATCACCGCCACAATCGGCCGTCACCTTCACCGCACAATAGGCCGCGGAATCCAGATATCGCGGATTTTTAAAAGAGTTCATATCTTATTTCTTGGTCATAAACGCAAATTAAGTAAGTAAAAAAAAACTT